AAAGTCCAAGCCTAAGATTTCTAGGCTCATTACCAAATTCAGGAAATAATCGATCAATTTCTTTCCATTGTGGCGAATCTGCCAGATGCTGAAGCATGCCATCAATTTTTCTCTCATCCGCATGCCATCTCAAGTTCTTTGCCTCATTTTCATTAGAGAATAACCTTTTAAATCTCGGTATTACTGGAAGATACCACAACACCTTTGCTGGAGGCCTCTTGGAAATCAAATCATCGTCACTACCATTCATCTCTTTTACTTTGTAGCGTGATGCCCCACAAACTAGACACACATCCAACCCTTCAAAATCATTTCTGTATAATATGCAGTCATTGGGGTAAGCATGTATCTTTTGATACCCCAACCCCATTGGACATAATATTTTTTTTGCCTCATAGTAACTATTTGGAAGTTCACTACCTTCTGGAAGCATCTCTTTTAATAGTCTAAGCAATTGTGTGAAACTTTTATTGCTCCACCCATATTTTGCTTTCAAGTTGAACAACTTCAACACAGCTGTTAATCGTGTATATTTTGTGCACCCTAGATACAAAGGCTTTTCCAAATCATGGCACAAGCTATCATATTTGTGTACTTTCTCAACACCTTCAACACCAATATCATTTAACATATCATCTATTCGATCAAACAAATCCATATCATCATCATCCTTATCCTGTGGCACTACACTTCGTTTTCTAGATTCTCCATGCAATACCCATTGTGTATACGCTTTGTAGAAACCAAAACAAATTAGGTGATCCTTTATCTCTATAGGACTTTGTCACAATCCATTCAAGCATTTAACACAAGGACAATAGAATAATCCTTTATTATTAAGAATATTGTTCTTTGCAAATTCCAAAAATTGGTCTACCCCCCTCTCATATTCATCACTTGTCCGTAAAGCATCTATCCAACTACAATTCATGATTACCTAATTAAAATATGAAAAACTATTTTATATTTTGAAATTAAAAAAAATCGACAGCATAACGGCTTATAAATTGATATTGCCTGGGCACAAAACCCTTATTTGACCAATTTCAACAAATGTCAATAGATAATCAACAATTATAGACTCTAATCCACAATCAATTCAAGCTTTTTCACACATTCAAGCTATCAAATAATTATCAAATTAAAATATGAGCAATTATTTTAAACGAATGATCAATAATTACCTAATTAAAATATGAATTATGGTTAAAAATTTTATATCAAATTGATATTAAAAATAAAAGTAAATAAAAAATATAACAAGTTAAAAATGTATGAAAAAATATATGAAAAATAAAAAATTAATTTAATAAAAAATATATGAAAAAATTTAATCTAATAAAAAATTTATATCAAGTTAAAAATTATGCATATAAATTTTACATCAAATTTCTATTAAAAATAAATAATTAATTTGATAAAAAAATATAAAGGAAAAGGCGGAACATAATAATGGGTGTAAACAATTATTCATAAAAATTTTAATATATTAAAAATAAATAATTAGTGCAATAAAAAATATAAGTAAAAAAAACTTAGTTACATGTATTGGGAGAAAAACATGAAAAAAAAATTAAAAGAAATAAATGGCTAAACATGCGAGAGCTTACCTGGATTAATGCACCAAGCTGGAGGCCGAAGAAAGATTAATGACAGTCACCGGCGAGCTAAAGGCTGATACGAGAAGCTGAAGGGTAGAGAGGAGGAGCTAAGGATGGAGAGAAAGAAGCTGAAAGACGAGGATCAGCTGAAGGCGAAGGGCGAAGAAGCAACTGGAGCTACGACTGAGCTGACGGCAGAGGGAGACGAAGGTGAGCTGAAGGCATGAGCTGAAGGAAAGGCAGGAAAGGCGCGAGAGCGAGCTGAAGGGTGCGAGACAAAGCTGAAGGTTTTACAAAAATGAGGAAAAGATCTGAAGGGCGCGAGAGAAAATGAAAAAAGAGGCAACATATAATGACAGGTTTAATAAAACCTGTCGTTATATGTAAGCTTATAACGACAGGTCATTAAACCTGTCGTTATATGATGTTCACGTTTTCTGCAAATTTGCTGCTGTCGTTTTGGAACTCGTGCATTGACATAACAATTTCGAATCAGCTACCTTCTGAAAAATCTCACCGACAGTGTAAATAATATAATAAATATTATCATCAGTTATATAATAATAAATAGTTAAAATTATATTATCGCATATATTAATATAAAATAAATTATATCTTATAATATTTATCTAAAGTTATTATTAATAATATTATTTATATTAAAACTAAGGAAATATGGACTATATTAACGACAGTTTTCAATAAACCTGTCGTTAATATATTTTCTAAATTATAAATATTGGTAAAATTTTAATTAATTATTACAATTTATCTAATGATACTATATATAATACTAATTATATATAACTATTAACATTATTTATATTAATATAAATAAAATTTTTATTTATAAATATTTAAATTAATTTTAAATTTATATAAATATAAATATTATTTAGTGAAGGAAAACTAAAATTTTTAACGATAGGTCTCCATATACCTGTCGTTAATATACATAATATTATTATTAAATTTAAATAAATATACTTACATTACCAAAAATATTATTTATATTAAATATTGTTATTATTAATTATATTAACAACAGGTTTCAATCAACCTGTCGTTAATATCTTCTATAAATATAAAATATTAATTAATTAGTATAATACATCTAATGATACTATTTATAACACTAATAATATATAACTATTAATATTATTTATATTAATATAAATAAAAGTTTTATTTATAAATATTTATATTAATAGTAAATTTATATAGATATAAATATTATTTAGTGAACAAAAATCGAACATATTAACGACAGGTCCCAGGATACCTATCATTAATATACATAATATTAATATTAAATTTAAATAAAAATACTAAAATTAAAAAAAATATTATTTATATTAAATATAATTATTATTAATTATATTAATGACAGCTTTCAATAAACCTATCATTAATAGCTTCTATAAATTACATTAATAGAATTTTAATTAATTAATATAATATATCTAATGATATCATTTATAATACTAATAATATATAACTATTAACATTAGTTATATTAATATAACTAAAAATGTTATTTATAAATATTTATATTCATATTAAAGTTTTATAGATATAAATATGTCCATAATTATCATTTAATAAGTCAAATTAATAGTTTAGTTGTACGATATAATTAAAATCAAAATATTAATTAATAATATATGTATTAATAATATTATGAATAATAACGACAGTTATTAAATGAACTGTCGTTAATTAAATAATAGATATATTAATTAATTTTTTTTGTCCAGCTAAAAGAAATTAAGAGCACATATAACGACAGGTTTCCATTAAACCTATTGTAATATGTGTTTCAATATATTAATTAATCTTTTTCGCATGCTGAAAGCTAAAAGAGGTAAATTTAATAACACCATACTTTTTTATTATTAATCTTTATTTTTGTTGAAATAACATTAAATAATATTAATAATAAAATTATCATTATTTATTTTGTATGTTAATATTTATTAATATTCATATTATGACTTTGAATATTACATTATCTATTAATATTTATATTAAATTAAATATATTAATGGTATATTAACGACAGGTCCATGGAATGATATCGTTAAATAGACATATAAATTTCTGACGATAGGCCTCGAATGGGCATGTCCTGAAAATATTAGTATTATAATATTTTTTTTACTTACATTATTTATATTAATATTAGTTTTGTTATTAATATTATGAACTAGACACTCAATTAACGACAGGTAAGATAATGACTGTCGACATATATATATATATTAATTTCAAGATTTTATTAATTAATTGTAAACATTAAAATAATTAATATTTTTAGTGTATCTCTAAATTTTATTTAATGCTTTTTAATTAGCTGAAAACATTAACAACCAAAGTTTTATTAAAGCCTTGTCGTTATAAGGTCACAATTTTTACTTGGAATTACTGGTCTTGCCACTGAATTTATTATAACGATAGTTAAACCTGTAACTGTGGAGAAAAGGTTGTGGTTAAAACTATATTTTGTACTAGTGTCAATTAGTTGCAAAGGGATTTCAACAAGATGTAGGGGTTAATTTTGGGGCTACCTTCAGTCCAGTTGCTAAACTCACAACAATCAGAGTTATTCTATCCTTAGTTATAGCTCTTCACTGGCCATTAAAGCAATTGGACATTAATAATGCATTTCTAAATGGATTCTTGCATGAAGATGTTTTTATGACATAGCCAACTAGTTTTGAAGATGTTACTCGACCTCATTACATATGCAAACTTTAAAAAGCCTTATATGGCTTGAGGCAAGCACCACGTGCTTAGTTTGAGAGACTTTATGGAGTATTAACTAGTTGGGGTTTTTATAACACCAAGAGTGACAACTCTCTTTTTGTCTTAAGAGCTTCAACACACATCTTCATCATCCTTATATATGTGGACAACATCTTGATAATTGGTAGCAACATCAATGAAGTTCAAACTATTATCAAAAAGTTGAGTGATATGTTTGCATTGAAGGACCTTGGTGATCTTCATTATTTTCTGGGCTTTGAAATTATGAGATAATTTTGGCATTTTCATTCACCAAGGAAAATATCTTGAAGATTTGCTGAAAAGGTACAAAATGTTATATGCTGCTCCTTGTAATACACCTATGGCCAGTGGCAAAGTTATAGGAGCTAATGAAGGCATTTTACTTGAAATAGAAGTGCACTTGGTGCTTTACAGTATCTTACCGATATTCGACCAGACATTTCTTTTGTAGTCAATCACTTGACTCAATACCTTAGCAAGCCTACATCAATTCACTGGAAAGGAATCAAACATATATTTAGATATCTCAAAGGCACAACTTGTACAGGTATGTTTATTGGTCCTTCCACTGGCCTATGGATAAATGCATATTCTAATGCAAATTAGGCTGCATGTCCAACTGATAGAAGATCTGTGATTGGATATTGTGTATATCTTGGCAATTCATTAGTCTCTTGGTGTTCAAAGAAACAAAGTATTGTAGCTCGTTCAAGCACTAAATCAAAGCATAGAGCTCTAGCTAACACAGTTGCTAAAATTGCATGGCTCAATTCCTTGTTATCTAAGTATGGATTCCCAAAGTCAGAACACCAATGATATGGTGTGATAATATCAATGCAATGGCACTAGTAGAAAATCCAGTCTATCATGCTTGAACAAAGCACATTGAGATTGACATTCATTATGTTCATGATTCTAGCAAGACAACTGAAGGTTAATTATGTTCCATCAAATGAGCAAAATGCCAATTTATTCACCAAGCCCCTGTATCATTCTCCTTTCATCTATCTAAGAAGCAAACTCGGGGTCACTGAGATACCCTCTCATTTGAAGGGGAGAGTTAAAGATAAAGCCCAAGATTCAAACAAGCCCAATGATAAATGGCAGAAGCCCAAGATCTTGATCCAAGAGACATAAGTATATTATCTCAGAAGCTACTAGAATGTATTAGCTGTAGATATTTTGTTTCTTGTGCTTCAGATATGGGACATGTAAGACAGTACCTCTGCACCTTTTTTCATTATTTGCACATTAGTGCGTTTGCGCGATAAGGCTGTACAAGGTCTATGTATGTAACCATTAAACCAATCATGAGCAACAACAGAACCTTTCCATCATATTCTCAAATATGTCATTTATGCATTTGTTAGGATGCAAGTCATCGTCTTTGCCCCAGGGGAAAGCGGAATCACCCCAAGCAAACAACATGTGCAAAGCATTCGGATTTGTTGTACCACCTTGAGGATTAAACACAGGGACCATAGGTTCACTCTGATACTTGAGTCCGTTTCTGATCAGCTTCTTGCATATTGGAGGAATAATGGAGCACTCCACCACGTACCAGTCCATCTGTCTCTTCAACTCTTCAAACTTTTTCCTGTCTTTTGTGTGATCTCCAGTTACAGATGAGTCATAATCAACAATTGGGGCCCACAGGATCTTGAAGTCGTCTTTCTTTAGTCCTTTGACTTCTTTTGGATCTTTCCTCAGTCCTTGGTAGATGGATTTTAACAGACGGGTCTCGTCTTCTATGCTGTATAGCCCAGAAAGGAACAGCAACACATGTTTCTGCCTGAACACCTCGATGCTCACCTGTGTTTGTTTGTTTGTTGTGTAGGAAAGCAAAAGTACAGAAAAAGAGAGCCTAATGACTAGTTTACTTTAGATTAAAGGAAAAATTGACGATAACGACCTAACAACTTAAATATTCAGGCATAAATTTTAAATGCAGAAATAAAGCCATCAGAGAATCATGGTCCTTGAAGGATAATATGTTTTTTTAACTAAAATATTAAAAACCTTTCTTTTTTCTGCACTTATTTTCAAAGTACACAAAATCCCAACTGCAGAAATAAAGCCTGCAAGGATCATGGTTCTTGAGGGATAATATGTTTTTCAACAGAAATATTAATAATATATTATACCTTACCTTTTTCTACACTTGTCTGGAAAGTACAGATTATTGAAGATTTATGAATAACTTCAACAATCAATGCAGAAAAAAGAAGAATAACTTATTATTTTCTCTAAAAACATATTTGTTATTCCAGAACCGCAGTCTCCTGTAAGCTTTATTTATGCATTTGGGCCTTATTGTGCTTGTGGTCAATTTTCCTTAGTTTAAAAGTGTGTGGGCAAAATTGTAATTTAGACACGAGTTTAATATATTATATATCTCTCACAAAATACACACACGCACAAAGTCACAAACCATTGATCCAGTGGAGCCTTGATAAACATGTGGGTCCTTCAAATCTTTGGGGAGAAGAAGGCACTTCAAAACCTGCACTATCTCTGTGGGAGTTTGAAAGACCACCCTGTAACGTTCGTTGTATTCATCCATCAGAGCTGCAATTAATACAAAGGGATCGAAAAATACATAGAGATCAGCTTTGATTTGAATCCAATTTTTCTCTGTTACAAAATAAAAAAATTTAGAAATTAATCAACCATGTTCATCATCATCACCTTTCTCTTTCTCTATCTTTGCCAGATAATCCTGTAATTTGAAGAGAATGGTCGAAATCTTGCTGCTGATATTGGAGATTTCATATACACTTGACCTGGTGAAAAAGAACAGTTTTCAGTATAAAATACGATGGTCTCATTAAAAAAATAATAATTAAAGAAGAAATTTGAAAATTTGTCTTGCTTTTTGAATGTTTGACCAGAAAAGTTGTTTCACAAAATTAATTAATCAAGTACTAAAATGTTTAATTAAAAATATCCTTTTTAATTAAACCACTATATATAGAATGTACTCATTCATTAAGCATTTGGCATGGAAAACCCTATTTAACGATTACTTAGGCAATATTATATATATATATATATGATATTTTACTAAAAATACCCTTTTTATTATAATTACCCAAAATCAACTTGACATGCACCAGAATTGGCTCATTCTCTCACTTGATATATTGAAATGAAGATAATTACTCCCTCCACTCCTTGACACATTTAATCGATTTTATACCTACTAAGAAATTATATTTATATTCTTAAAATTTTTTAAAGGACATGTAATTTACCAATTTTTTCCTTGTAATATTGAATTGCTATCTAGGAATTCAAACTATCATCACAAATAAACAAGGGATAAAATTAAAAAAATAATTAATTATTCTAACTTTAACTTATATTCATCAAAATCAAGAAAAATTTTAAAACCAATTAATTTTGTTTAAAAATTTAACAAGTTTCTAACTTTACTCCTAATAAATATATATACTTTAAAAATAAAAATTTTAATATTTAATAAACTTTCCAACATTTAATGTGAACAAAATGGTAAAAATGAACATAATATATATATCATTAAGGTACCTTATAAATAAATGGTCTCTCTTTGTCCTTTATAAATAGGACCAAAGGAGTATTAATGACCAAAAAAAAGTTTTCAAAGTTTTCCTTATATTAAAAATTGAAAAGAATAATTATGAATATACATACATACATATAAAGAGAGTGAAGAACTTACCAATAATAGAAGAGGATATCAATATAACTAGCACAGATAACAATGGTGAGGACAGTCCAGTAAACGATGACAGGGAAATCCTGAATAGCTTTCTCCAACGTCGGGATATCGTTATTAACGTCATAGCCTTGTTTGGACATTCTCTCCAACCGAACTAGATATTCGACGCAGAGGAACACAGTGTTGACGACGAGGTTGTAGTTGGAGATGTCACTGCGGCTTCTCTCGAAGGCTTGAACATGGTTCAGCACTGCCAACGATTTTCCGAGGTTGTCATCATTCGGAACTTGAAAAAGGTGCCAGAAATTCCCATACAGTAATGCAAATGCTGCCAGTGCTGTCACTGCTTTCGCACACCATGAATATGCGTCTAGTTCTTTCAGAATCGCCATTGTTGTTTTGTGTGCGAATGAATGGTGCTCATCGTGTCGTGTTCGCGTCATCTGTCCACAATGCGAATTAATTAGAAACAAAATGCTTTGTTAATTTCTTTTTTGCCATGATCATCATGCTTTACTCTTGTCTTTCATATACATATACATAAAAGTTTATGTGAGTTTGATCTGAGGGCTTATTAGGGCATGCATCTGGATTCAAAGAGAGCTTAATTATAGAGGTGTTTCTTTACAAATTGCCTGCCTATAATTTTTCAAATTGATAATAATAAAATTTGAACCCATAATCTTATGAATTATAGATCAAATATTTACCAACTCGGCTAATTTGATTTCATAATTTTGTGAATTATGAGCTAAATCCTTATTTATTGGACTAACATTTTATTTTCAACTAAATTATGCATTATAAAAAAAAAGAAAAACTCAATCTGGATATTAAGAAAACTAGAGATATGAACGAATACCAGAAAGGAAAACTCTAAAAAATATATCATTTTTTTAATATTTTGAGACTGATGAGAATGAGCATCGATGAAATGAAACAACTATATATTATGCGTTAGATATATTGTCTAAAAAGGATAGATTTTCTAGTTTATTATTACTGTATTTTCTAAAAATGATGTAGAAATATAGAAATAGAATGTAAGAAACATAAGCATGTTTGATGTAGTAATAACCTGACAAGCAATATGCTTGAGTAAATGTGTCGGTGGCTCGAAATTGGCAAGGTTAGCCTTGTCCTTCGTCTCTTGTGCAACATACTGTAAACAGTACATAGGCACATCAGAATTGCTTTCCTCAGACAGAAAGACAGAGTATAGAACATGCATGAAGCATATATATATGTATGTATATACCTTAATGCTTGGATTGGCAAAGCCAATGGAAGGACCCATGATGTCTGCAACAACACTGAAAAAAGCCTCGACATTGAAGGTTTCACCAGGCTTGTTGACGATATAGCAACCACGAACTGAATCCAACACCTGGTTATCTGACTGGGTCAATGGTCTCACCAATTGCTTCTGCGAGTATTCCGACGACATGATTATTCTTCTTCTTGCGCGAGCTCCTCAATAAGGTTTCAGATAATGAATGAACGAAATTAATGACGTCTTGTGGTATTACCCTGCCATGCCATGCAATATTTATTGGCTTCAGAACCCATAGTGGAAGACAAGACTAAAGAGTGTACAAAAGAATTATAATTAATTAATTAATATGTGTCACATACTAGCTACCTCCTGTGCCTATTATAATATAAGATGCCTTAATTTGGTCCTTAACATACTCCTCTAGTGCTATTTATAAGGTAAAACGAAGATTAATTTTAATTTTATTTATACGGCACTTTATTATTTTTTATATTCATTTTTACCGTTTTGCCTATATTAAATGATAGAAAAAATTATTAAAAATAATTCATTCTATCCTTATTAGGGGTTAGAGGTGGAAACTTATTCAATTCTAAAAACAATATTAATGAGATTTAAGATATATTTAATAAATAGGGAAAGCACAATCATCAATCCCTATAATTTCATTGGATTTTACTTTTAGTTCCTATAGTTTTATTAGTATTTTCAATCCTTATAGTTTCAAAAAATTTGAATCACATTTTGATGTGAAACAAGAAAGAGAAGTGGAGAAGAGAGAAAGGATGAGGGAGAGAGAAAGAAGGAGCACTACAAAAACATTGACTTTCAAAAGTGATGTGACAAGTGTTTTCGGTGACAACAAAAAGTAGCCGCAATGTTGCCGCAAGAACTCTTGTCGTTGATTATATCTGCAGTGACAATAAAAGTCACTGCTAAAAGTTGAGAATCGGCGGCGACAAATGTTGCTACAGAAAAGAAAATTTGTCACCACAGAAAGATAGTTGTCACTAAAAGTTGAGAATTGACGGCAACTATTTGGTCACCGTTGAATGTTAAGTATTAGCGGAGACATTTGTCGTCGGAGAAATTACCAATTAGTGGCGACTTTTTTGTCACTGTTGAAAAGTAATGCTAGTTTACTTACCCACATGGCACCACATCACCCTCCATGTGGCGCCATGTCACCTTTCACGTGATGCCCTCAACTCATGCCACGTGTCATTATGTTACTAATTTATATTTTCATTTTACAAGTTGTCTTCTTCAAAGTTTGAACCCATCATCTCTCTTTTTATGTCCCATTATTTTGCCACTGAGTTAGAATGAACCTACAATCTATTATTATATAATTATATATATATATATATATATTTATGATTAAACTATACAAACACACATATATATTAACTATTAAATATTATAAAATATCATTACTATCATTAAATAATTTAATTTAATTCTTTTAATTTATTAAAATTGCAAATTATATTATTTATTTTGTTTAAAGTAAATTATAAATATAATTGATACAATATTATTTGTACTATTTATTTTAATTTTTTTTACTTCTTGAGATTGTTATATTATTTATTTTAATATTCATATTTATAATTATAATATAAAAATATCTAAGAATAAATAGTAAAAATATTGATGATTATACATTAATTTTATAATTATTTATTTTCTAGCTAGCTTTATTTAAAATTTTATTTTTATTTTTAATTAATAATAACTCTTAAGTAATGTAATTGGCTTGTTTTTACATTACATTTTAGTTTTTAAATTACCTTTCATTTTTAAATTATCTTTTTTTTTATATCTATGTCGCAAGATAACATCAAACAAAAAAAATCATATAGCATCACATACATAGATATATTTCATATGTTATAAAAGTTAAAGGTAGAATTTTAGAATATCTCATTTTTTTTCTTTTATTCTTTCTCTTTCCTATCATTAGCCATCAAACTGAAAACATCTAAACCTGCATTAAGCTTTAAAGTTACTGGTATTAAATGTAGAGTTTGAATTGAAAAATTAGATTAGATGAAGTATCATTCTATGAATGAATAAATTTAAGTATCACATGTTTAATTATTATAAACAAGTAGTGTTATTATTTAAATTATTAATTTAATCATCAAACATTTGAAAATAAAGACTCATTTTCACATTATATGCATTCCAAATTAAAATATCAAATATTAAATTTTTGAATGAATTTATCACTTCACATAGGGGTATACATTAGTCAATTCAGTTAGATTTGGTGTTAATTGACTAAAAACAATTAACCAAACTAGTCTAAATAGTTAGATAGAGTCAAACCAAATATTACCTGATAACAAAAATTGACATAAAATAATATAATTTGGCTTAATTCTTTACTCTAACTCATTAGTATTAAATAGTATCTTAATCTTATCTTAAAATAATTTAACTATTTTAAAGTTACAATTTAACCATAAAATACATTAAATGAAAACTCATTATGTTATTTTATATATTCATTATAAAATTACAGTAATACAATAAAATTAATGTTTTAAAATGTTAAATATTATATTAAATAAAAAATAAAAATTATGATGATAATACAAAATTAAACTTTTAGTGGCGACATTCAAAATTGCAGCTAAAAGTATTACTTTCAATGGCGACTTTAAAAAGTCACTGTTAATTGTCAATTTTCAGCAGCGACTTATATATCACAATTGAAACTTATAACTTTTTTATTATAACATAAGTTTTTAAGAAATTATGACATATTTCTAGAGTTGCCTCTGAAACTTAAACCTTCGACCGCGACATGCACTTGTCACCACTAAAAGTCTAACAATCAACAACAACTATATATTATCATCACAAAAAGTTACCCTTTTAGCGGCGACTTCAAATGTCACTGTAGAAAGTCAAACTTTTAACAGTGACTTTTATTATCACCGCAGATTGTTCTCACTTTCTACAGTGAATCTTAAAAGTCACCGCTAATTGTCAACTTTCAACGGCGACTTATATGTCACCGCTAAAACTTAGACCATTGACAGCAACATGCACATGCCCTTTTATTATAGTGGAGGGGAGAAGGCTAAAACTCTCGAAAACCGTTATTCAATAATACTGCTGAATACCAATGAAAAACCTGGCTCTATTTGTAGAGCTATAAAAATAATAAAATAATAATAATAATTTAAATTCAAGTCTCAAATCCTAAATCTAAATATAATCTTAAATATACTGATATCTAATATAATAATAAAATAAATAATAATCATGATTCTAATGGATAAATATACTCATTTAAATATTCTTAATGGATAACCCTAATATCCTAAATTAAATCCTAATTATATTTTATTTTATATTACACCACGTTTGTTACTCAGGGCCCTATAGCTTCATTGTTTTTAATGGTTTCAATCCCTATAAAGATTGAAAATGTTCTGATAAAACTATATAGATTAATGATTATGTTTTTCCTAATAAATAGAAGTAAAGATAAAAATTTATTAAATTTTTATATAAAATTAATGAATTTAATTTGTTTTACCAACAATTATTGAGTTTAAATAAGAATTAGTAAGTATTAACGCCAAGGAACACGTTATGATGTGACATCCCTCCCCATTAACCTGACATTACTTTATAATACACCTACCGCAATGTGACATATTTAGGGCTCGAGGACCACAGTGAATGTGAAAATCTGAAGTTTTTGGTCGTGTGGACCCAAGTTATTAATTTCTTTTTAAACCTAAATGTACTGTTTACATTGAAAGCTTTCCAGCATTTTCAATTTGAAAGACAGCTTTACTTTGACCCTTATGATTTACGGAATTTTCATTTGTCAAAAAAAAAAAAGAAAAACAAAGGAAGCTTTACAGAATTTTTAATTTGACCCCCATGATTTAAGCTCTGTAATTGGATATATCTTTTAATCTATAAACTCTTTATTATTTTAGTCCCTATTGTTAAAGTTCTGATGACTTTTTATAAAATCTGGAGATGTAAGTAATTACATACATACATATATACATATATATATATATATATAGAGGAAAAATTAATCTTTTAGTTCTTCAACTTTTAACTCACTTGTAACTCAGTCCCTCAACTATGACTCACTGCGACTCAGTCCCTCAACTATAACTCATTGCAACTCAATCCCTCAACTTTTAATTTACCTATAACTCGGTCCTTATTTTTTAATTTTTTTAAAAAATTTTTATTAAATAAGAGGAATAAAAAAATGCTCATATATTATTTTAAAATACCCTCTTCTTATTCATTAATGTGAGATATAAGTTAACATGAAAAAAAATTAACAAAGTTAAGGGACTAATTTGGAAGCGATTCAAAAGTTGAGGGACTGAGTCATAAACGAGTTATAGTTGAGGAATTAAGTCACAGCGAGTTATAATTGAAGGACTGAGTTATAAGTGACTTAAAAGTTAGAGGATTAAAAGATTAATTTTCTCTCTCTCTCTCTCTATATATATATATATATATTGAATTTTAAGTGCAATTTTTTTCATTTTAAAAGCCTTGGGTGCGATTCTCTACATACTCCCTCTGTTTTTTATTATTAGAAAAACTATCATTTTTTACTTGTGTTTTTTATAAGCAAAATCACTATTTTAATAAACATTTATTACATATTTTTTAAATCACTACTCATAATTTATATTAACAAAAAATAATTAATACATGTTTATGTTAATTAACACAAAACATTTTAGTTCAATTTTTTTATTTTCAAATATAATTATTATAGCTAACTAACTTTTTAAAATTGTGTAATACAATTTTTTTTCTTACATCTAAAAATGGTGGGAGTATAAAATAACACCCTTAGACCCTGTTTGGTATAAAGGTATGAATTTTAATGAATTGAAATTTAGATTGGGATTGAGGTTGATACTGCAATTGGAATTGGGATTAAGGTTTTAAAAATATATTTGATATGGAGTAATATTTGGATGGAATACTTACATTAATTTTATTTTATATTCAATCAAAAATTACTAAAAGACTAACAACCCTTAACCAAAAAAAACACAGCCGGGAAACTCTGGCGCGTGAGGAATCAATGGGTTCTCCAACAATGAATGCTTTAATGCAATAAGAGTATCACACTTCACTTGAATCCAGTATCTTTAAGTAATAGAATCATTTTTCACTTAAAAAAAAAAAAACACAGTCGGATGAACATTAACTAGATCTAGAGAACTC